ATATACTCCTTTTGTTTCAATTTATATAGCATAATTTAATTGGGCTTAGAATTTAAACAATAAATGAAAATTTTGAAATTTGTGATTTTAAATATGTTATAACTTTTGTGTGACTGTAAGACATTTGTAATTTATCGTCCTAAATTATACTATCTACGGTTTATTATAGGCCAAGATCTCCACGCTCATAACAACCTCTAGCTGACTGAGACTACTAAACTTGACCCTATCCCTAACGGCCTGAATACCAACTGGAAAAACCCTGGATAGACAGAGCATGGTATGAGCTTGCTGGGAGAGCACTGAAAGATAATAGAACTGGGGTGCTGAAAGATGGTCGAGACATTGCTCAGATTCTGATTATCGATGAACAATTGATACTCTATACAATTAATTTCTACTCGATATATACAGGGGCGAAGCAATGTAGTATGTATGGCCAAGGGTGGTTAACTGAACACCCTTCGCCGAAAATTATACTATGTATCGGGTAAAATATTAAGTACTTATTATTGATTCAAAAATAAATTTTAAATACCCTTACATAACGCACTGGCAAAGGATTCGCCACTGGATATATAACTAGCATATAAAGATTATATAACATTTAGTATATAAGAATACCCTTTTTAATATGCTAAAAATATTTATAGTAATACACATATTTAACAAGAGATAAAATATGAAAGGAAAAAAAAGAAAAAAGGTATATTGTATAAGCTTTTTTTAATAATTAATATTAAAAAAAGGTGCATTATATCAGTTATTTTTTATTACTACAAATAAAAGAGAAAAAGAGAGAAAAATATGAAGAGAATGAAAAGAAGTATCATAGGAGGAGAGGTAGAGGTAGATCTAAGAAGTACTAGGGAGATGTGATTGGGCAGGATATGCCGTTGCTTCAGCTGGAGGACATGCCCCTTGATAAGAAGGTGTGAATGTCGAGAAGTAGGATAACATGTAGTAGTTGAGTGTTTTCCTTGTTCATACCAGTAGTACTAGTGTTTAGCCTTGTATTTTCTTATTTTTTAAAATTTCTATTACTACTTGCTATTTCTTTTGCTTCGATTTTCTTGTTATCTTGCTGATGTTACTGCATATTGCTTCTTTTTGCATCTTTCCTTGAGCCGAAGGTCTATTAGAAACAGTCTTTCTACCTTCTCAAGGTAGGGGTAATGTTTACATGCACACTCCCCTCCCCAAACCCCACTTGTAAAATTACACTGGGCTTGTTATTGTTATTGTACATTTATTGGTCCTTGGATTAGTATTTATGTTAAACCTACTTCAAAAATTACAAAATTTATTTTCAAAAATTAATTTTTGGTATGGTGGTGCAAATTAAAGATCTAATTTTCTTAAAAGGCGTAATTTTTAGTTTTATGGTCTCAGGAGAGAAGATGCGTTTTTATTATGATATTGTAGAGAACAGTGTCGTGTTCTATTAAAAAAAGGTATAATGAATATTCATGATTTGTGAGATAGCTCCATCAACTGTATTGTATCACGAACGAATGATAAGTTGATAACAGTAATTGAAAAGGAGTAAAATCTCTCACATAATTATTCCTTTTTTTAGGAACTAATCTTTGTGTTTGATATAGGCGGTAGCGACTCAAATTTAATTTCCAAGTACATTTCAAATAGTCAGTGTGAAAAGATAAAACATGAAAAATACTAGTTTTGGTCAACAAAAGAACAAGTCATTCAGATATTCACGAAAGTATAAATCAACTACATTTGAAATACTGAACCTCATCAGCTCTCAAAGTGAGCTACATTAACATGAGTAACATCATTGCAATCCTAAATAATGCATATACGCAATATGAGACTGAAATGTCAGTAGAAACAAAATATGACGATAAAACAAGCACCGTCTATGTGAGAAATTGGGATAATACAGGCAAAGACGAAATCGTTCTCACTAAACCAATACTCCAACTAACTACAGAGACAAATAAGACAGCCGTATTTAGCTAATAATATTATGTTAGCTTGAAAAAGAAGTTTGTGAACACAATAGAAATAAAACAATAGAAATAAATGGTCATATTCAGACAGAGATTTGCCTCACAAAAACCAACATGTAAGAGGAAAAGGGAGGATCAATGCTGAGGTTCACCTGATATACAGAGTCTCAGTGTAAAAGCCAATAACTCCAGAACACAATTGCTTCTCCACCACTAAAGCTCGACCTAAACATATGTAACAGGAAAAGTGAGGATCAATGCTGAGGTTTACCTGATATACAAAGTCTCGTTGTAAGAAAGGAAAGCCAATAACTCCAGAACATAACTGCTTCTCCACCACTAAAGCTCGACCTAAACTTGGAGGTATGGTGCAAACCATACGTGCTAGACATCTAACAGGGGCACTCATAGATTTCTACCGCTGACAGACCAAATCAGTATGGAGTTTTGTAATCTGATTATCTCAATAATTATTTTGACTTGTCTCATTTCATTTCCCCTACTAATATAGCTATATGGACAAAGAACACATCAGACACAGATGACAAGCACAACAATGAGAAGTGCTCTCCTTTCGCTAACCAACAAGTAAAATTTCCAAATCCAACTAACTAAAAAACAATAATAATGAGAAACCCACAAGAGCACAAACTGTCCGATAACAATCTAGGTATATACCAATCACTAAGCATATCAGCCAAGAATGCAGCATGGTTTTACACAAGAAGCTGGTCTTTTAGACACTGAAGCAAAGACAGGACACGAAGGTTTTGCAGCCAAAGCTTAATATATTGTGGGCAGAATTCGGAACTAGAAGCAAAAAAATGATTACTATAAGAAAACAATCTTCACCGGGAAGGAAGTGATAACCATTGAAACGACTCTTCCACATCAACATATGGGCACGGGAGAGATATACTCATGCTCTTTCTTTCCAAATCATAGACGTACAGAAAACGATCGTCCCTCTCAATGAAATAGATGGAATCTTTCTTAATATTAGCGCCTCTTGTGGAGCAAGTTATCCCCCCGGACCCCCACCTATCACTCAAAAAAACTGCACTTTCGCCAATGCTTGTCAACTTCTTCCACGCTTTCTCCTCAAAATCAAACTGAAACAAAAAAAACCCATATAACTCCTTCGAGTTATAAAAATACAGCTTGTGAAGATATAGTAACATATGATCATCGCCACATGAGGACTGAATGAGGTATCTCCCAGAGCGTGGCATGTCTAAGTATCCGCAATAATCAAATGCGGGTTGGTCAACCATTGGTGTAATGGTTATTGTTCCCAAGTCATTATCTACATCCAAAAGCACAAGAATTGACTCGTCGGACATCAATGCGTAAAATTTCCCGTTGAAGACTGTCCAATCCCCCAATTCATCATCATCAAGTTGCATTTCTTGTTTATGAAATCCTTCATTGTACCCAGGCTTGCAAAAGTAAAATGTACGCCGTCCCACATATATGTCATCCTCACGACTCTCATCGATCAGGAAAAGTATGCAACATTCTGGATCATCGGGTGGTCGGGACAAAAGGCACCTCACATAGCCGTCCTCGGGGAGTGGTGGGAGCTGAATTTTCTCCTCTGAGTTAGCATTCCAAAGATAGCAGTCACAATACTCAACGTCAAATAACACGAGCCAATCCTGCGCATAAGCGCATATCATCTTGTTCTGAAGCTCAGGTATGCTTCTATCATAGTAGCGTGCCTCTGATATGCTGAAAAATGTTTGATTTTCCCTGCATTCTCCGTGGCAAATAAGAAGCCAAGGGAATGCAGAAAAAGGAAGTCGAGATTCTTCCAACATCATCCTTTTTTTCCTTTCTCTGCAAAAGTAAGAAAGATAATCAATAGTAATGTAGGGGAATAGCGTTTAGATTCACACAAACAAAAAGTAACTTTTGCTTCTTGATTTCAGCTACTCCATGACATGATATTAGTATTTGCAAACTTCGAAACTAGTAATTACCTCTAAAGAGTTGCCTGAAAGTTAAAGAAAACTAACAAAATAATACTTAATTCAGCATCTTGAGAATAAACTGAAATAACAAAAAAACGAAAGAGAGAAGCAAGCAAAACGAAGGTGGGGGAAAAAAAAGCAAAGGCACACAGAAAATATAATTGTTACTGAGAAACGTGCAACCTCATTTTGTTTTTTGGGGCAACTCGTCCTGAAGACTAATAAGAATAATGTGTGTTTAACTGAATCATCAGCTTAAATAAAAGGGGCGAGTTGGTCACAGTTCAAATAAAATAAGTAACGGACTCCAAATTCAACTAGGAAAAGGAGTTAGAAATTAGAATAGCTCAAATACAAGGAAAGAAGTTACATACAACATTGTGGTGCTAGTTACTCCCAAAGTTGGAGTGCGCAAATGACTTTTCCGGACAGTGTAATTTAAGTATTTTCCCTAGAAAAATATCATCTCAAATCGAAAAGCACTAATCACAGGACTAGAAAACAAATAGTAATGGAAGAAGAAGATCTCATCTCACGTCAGCATAATGAGCTAAAGAAACCAGACAAGCACTCAAGATATCGCATAAAACTATAAAAGATGAAGATGATTCCACAGCTGTAGATTGCATATTGCCTGACTGGTGGGAAATTTGAAGAGCATTCAAGAAATTTATTCAGTTTTTGTTTCCTTTACTGCTATTTACATGAAATCCATCTCAGTTGAACAAATGACCAGTATTATTCTTTGCATCTTACAGGCATGTAAAAAGAACAGACTCCTTACCCTTTCATGAAATCAGCATACATTGATGGATGAATAACATGTTCAGGAGAGACAACTTCTCCGTTAACACGAATTTCTTGTAGAAAATCCACGCTAACAGATTTGAACTGATATTGCTGCAGTGAAAAATAACATGTGAATAAATGGAAATGAAAGAGAAATTTGGATAACAACACACAATGAAATCAAATTGGGAACACAAAGGATTGCAAGAATGACTGTTATGCTTGCAATCTATTGCAGTGAAAAAAAGCAGAGCGAAGTGCCAATCACTCCTTTCAGACTCCCAATTGGGCGAAAATCTTGGCAATTTTCCCATATTGCCAGTTTTGACACTTTGAGAAAAGGTGAATATAAAAGAACAAAACTACTGACATACGCATTTGAACAACAACATCTCCAGATACCCAGGAGGGTTTTTTTTTTTTTTTTAGGGGGGGGGGGGGGTAGGGGGTAGGGGGGGGGGTAACGACTTGGAGTGTGAAGAGAGGTGGTATAGCTTGAGGGGCTGCTAGAGTTGAAATACGTAAATCTGTGACTCTGTATCTGAAATTTAGCTTCAGATACAGAGAGAGTCTGGTTTTGGCAATTTGAGAAAAGGTGAATAGAATAGAACTAAACTACCAACGTAAGCATTTGAGCACACCAACAGTTCCAGATTTCCAGGAAAAGGGAAGGGAAGGAGGGGGGACTTGAAGTGTGGAGAGAGGTGGAATGGAATAAGTAGAGCAGCAATGAATGCCCAAAAAAACAGAGATATTAAAATTATTGAAGGTTACCTTTGCCTTCCATTCAAAATCAAAGAAATGGTATAAAGGATCCAATAGTGTGATCTCATCTTCTTCTTTGATCTGTCAGGAGAAGTAGTTTGTAATCTTATTATGCAAAAATCTAAGGGGGAAACGAGCAACTGAAGCTCAGCAAGTACTCCATGAAGGCAAGAACTTCATGTGAAATAGAACTCTCAGTACTCACTGTATACTAATCTACTCTGCTCTCTCTCAAACAAGAAGATGGCTTATTATACAGTCAGTTTTTCTTTGTCTTTTCTATTATTTTCCATTTATGATTTATTTCATCTCTTTATCCAGTGTAAACACGGGAAAATTGGAACATGCCACAATCTTGTATAGCATAATTTAGGGATGTCACAAATTTATAAAAATTACAACACTTTAGTTGGATGGAGACATCGAATTTAAAAGCAGCTCTTCAATACAATATGAAACTCTAACGGAAATACAAAAGTAATCTTTGCTCGTCTAAATCTCTTGTTTATTGGAACAATAAAAAGGACAGCCTGGTGCACAAAGCATCCCGGATGCATGCAGGGTCCTGGGAAGGGCCGCACCCCAAGGGGTGTGATGTAGATAGCCTACCTTGGTTGCTTCCAAGGCTCGAACCCGTGACCTATAGGTCACACGGAGACAACTTTACTGTTTCTCCAAGGCTCCCCTTCATTTAATGGAACAATATAACAACAACAAAAAAAAAAAATAACCCAGTATAATCCCACAAAGTGCGGTCTGGGGAGGGTAGTGTACACAGACCTTACTCCTACCTTGTGAAGGTAATGTGTACGCAAACCTTACCTCTACCCTGTAAAGGTAAAGGGGTTGTTTCCCATAGACCCTCAGCTCATGGAAAGATGAAAAAAAAGCAGAGACAACAAGCAGATTTAATGGAACAATACTGAACAAAACTTTAATATTCCAACTTAGGATACATTATATTCCAAGTGTATAACTCACTATATTGGTATTCGACAAGTATTGTAACTAAGAAATGGATATCTGAACTTTGCCGGTTGCTTAGAGCCGTATTTAAAAAAGGTCACATTTTTTCGTCAGTTGAGACACAAATTAGACAAATTTAGTAACTCAGATTAAACCAAAGGTGTTACTTACTGCAGTGCTGCATACTCCGTAAACAGTAATTACAAAACATGTGTGGTCAGAATCACAGACAACATAGTATCTGCAGAAGAAGAGGAGAAGTTGAGACAACATAGTATCTGCACAAGAAGAGGAGGCATCTCTGCCACTTGGATTTCACTTCTGAAGGGAATACTTGGGAGGGGAAAGTGTCAAAATGAGCTACTGTAGATTCTTCTAAGGTTAAGTAACTTACATTGGGCTTCCACTCGGATTCTTAACTGAAAATAGAACTTTTCCTGTGACTGCTTTTCCTTCATTAAGACCTTCAGCTGGGCGATCGACAGTAGCTCTCTCATATGAAGGATCCACTACAAGAAATATTTTGCCCAATTTATGGATTACAAGCTTAATCCAACATCACACTGATTCAGAAAAAATATCTAAGACCCATATAAAGCTTACATTCGGCAGAAGCAAGTATTGATGCTTGGGAATCAACAGCAGGAAGGGGTGATGCTGGAGAAGGAAGCCGCTTAGCATCATTCAGTTCCTGAAAGACAGGATCAAGTTATTCAACTGCTTTCATAATATCATGCATAATAGATGATCTTAAACGCATCAGAAGTGTTAGATATTAACAAACTCAAAATCCAATGCATGGGAAATCCTTAGCGCTTTCTCTTGCTTGATAAAAGGAAGAGAAGAAAGAAGAAACCATAATAATGTAAACTTGAGGATTGCCTACCAGTAAGGTTGGTACATTCTTTAGTTGGGAGAGTATTCAGCTTATTAAGTGGTAAGCCGGAATGATTGATAGAGAGATCTGAGGAAAACCTCCTTTGTCTTATAGACATGTCATATACTGAACGTGTAAAGCTATTCGTGGAATTAGTATCTTCAACATTTTTTTTTGACAATGGTAACACTTTATAAAATAAAACAGCACAAACTTTGTGCTGCTAAAAGTGACAAAATACATCCCAAAAAAAAGTAAAGAATCCCCTACTACAAAAACTTACAAGGATTCTATGATATCAACTATGGAATCACTATCATTTACAGGGCATTCTTTACAGCCAAAAAAGAAAAAGTACTATACAGTTCATTTTGATTCTCTGAATGGAGTTCCTAACATCCTCAAAACATCTGAAATTCCTCTCGTTCCACATTGTCCACCAAATGCAGGCTGGGATCTTCTGCCACCATTTCTTCTGACTGACTCCACCTGTCACACCAGCCCAACATCTCAAGAGGTCGGTTATACCTTTTGGCATGACCCAGTTCAATCTGACAATGCTCAGAAACATGTGCCACAGTTGAGAGGTAACAACGCAGTGAAGAACATGTGAGAGTTGTCTTCTGTCTCCCTTCCACAGAGATAGCATCTGGAGGTTAGTTGATATCCTCTTCTCTTAAGTTTTTCATCAGTCAAGCAAGCTTTTCTGGCAACTAACCATACAAAGCATAGCACCTTTGTGGGTGCATTTACCTTTCTGGCCACTCCCCTTCTCTTAGTACCTTCAACATTTTTCATTTCCTTAATTATTTTACTGTATCACAGTAGAAATACCTTTTCTCTAACATTTGAAATCTTAGCTGCCAGTTATACTTATCAAGGGTTTCAAAGCCAAATCTTGCAGATACAGAGCAGTACTTGAGAGCATCTCAAATCACTATCATACCCATTGTTCTGTCACATCCAAAGTATGCAATTCTAATGATGGAAACAGGGTTAACTCATGCTTGAGTTCCACACTGGTGCATATTGTCCATTAGAGACTATAATCCTTAAATAGGAAGATTCCTAACTAGGAGCTTCCCTACTTCAGACTTTAAAAATTCAGTGATGAATCAGATTTATGATCTCATGAATTATGGCACCTTAACCAACTCTCTTAACCTGCCCTTCCTGTGTCGAGGGTCTATTGGAAACAGCCTCTCTACCTGAATTAGGTAGGGGTAAGGTCTGCGTACAGACTACCCTCCCCAGACCCCACTTGTTGGGATCAAACTGGGTTTGTTGTTGTTGTAACCAACTCTTTTAACCTAATATTGTTTGCTGAGACTTAACATAATTCCCTTGGAATTCTATTGCATTCAACCATAACTTCCTTAATGTGTCTCACCTGATCAAACAAAATATGACTGCAAATAGTTGTATCAAAAGATTCAAAACTAGCCAGCACTAAATACTCTTACCTGAAGCAAAGAGTCTATATTATCAAGAACATCACACAGATTTGATGCTTACTGAGACTTAACATAATTCCCTTAGAATTCTATTGCATTCAACCATGACTTCCTTAATGTGTCTCACCTGATCAAACAAAATATGACTGCAAATAGTTGTATCAAAAGATTCAAAACTAGCCAGCACTACATACTCTTACCTGAAGCAAAAAGTCTATATTATCAAGAACATCACACAAATTTGATGCTTGCTCTAGACATTTAAGACTAGGATCCATTAATCCAGCAATTTCCAAACCGGTGAGGGCCATCTGATATTTCTCTAGAAACTTGCACGCCTGTAGAACCAAGTCATAGCATCACAAAAACAAGGTACTAAAATTTTGAAAAGGAGGCAAGTGAAAATAAGGATATATAAGCAGACACGAAATGTCACTGTAAAGAAAATAGATGCTTTCTTTTGAGTTGATTCTTGATGTTCGCTCTTTGTTTTCAAGTTGTGGCAATCAATCCCAGTGAATCGGGAAAGCCTTTTATTACCACAAGCTTTCAGGAACTTTTTAGTCGTTCAGGTATATAGAAGTTATGTACTAGAACAATTCAGGATTAAAATTGGTACATAGCCTTACCATCGAGCAGGTGTAATTGAATTCAGCACAGCACTTCATCTTTTTGTCTTTGCCCTGCAACATAACACAAAATTAGAGGAGGCTCTGAGTAAGATATGTTGAAAATATAACCTTAGGATGGTATAAATAATTCGGAAGTACACGAGAAAAATGATAAGAGGGAGACTGCGGTGTCGGCATATTACGGGGAAGCTTTATGCCCTAGGTAAATTGGCAAGACGCATACTCACAGCATTCCTGTATGCTTTTAATGACTGAAAAAGCATATCATGATCCCAAGTTCCAGTCAGAAAATAGGCAGTGAAACATGCATTTCCTAGGGCATCTGGCAAAAAAGATGAAAGATCATTAAAGAAACCCAAGCTTGGATGTAATCAAACATTGATAATGACTAACAATCTTGTGATATGAACTACAGAAAACAACACGACTCGTGAAAAATCATTAAAGAAGATAGTCAATCACAGACTAGAGCAGCTCAGTGGACAGGTTAGTAAGAAATATTTTATCCTGACACAAAATGCCAGGGATTCCCTTTAGCTCTTCATCCTCTTTCCCATTACTATTTAATTTTATCAAGTCTACGACCAAGAAACATACTATTCTTCCTTATAGCAATATATATTTCCAGGAACTGCTACATATGTATCGAAATTAGCAAATATATCCAAGTATAAGATGCAATCTTACACCAAGATATTCCATCCTGGACATCTCGAAGAATTGCATCCTTTGCATGTTTGATACTATCACCAATGGTTTCTTCTGGATTTTCAACCTCTGGAAAGTAGAATACTATCAGTTAATACTATGTGCACTTACAGAAAATGTGAATACAGTTATTACAGACTCTTGCAGCTTTAACCCCATAATTAAGGTTAAATTTTCACCTGTTCCATCTATGCACTGTCTTCTTTCAAGCATTGATAATTGACGCAACAGCTCCTTATTTTCAGGCTCCTGAACACACGAAACATGAATATATCTATCAGAATTCTCAAGAATTAAATTGATATCTAACGAACTTTAAAACTCCAAGAACAGCATATAAAATGACCTGCTCAAGGACAAGTTCATAGCATTTTTTAGCTTTAAAAAAACCACCTCTCTTCCCGGAGCAAGTCCCTAAGCATATCCATGCATCCGCAATACAAGGATTCAAATTAAGCTGTTACAAAAATTCAACAGTCAAGAAAAGAACCATAAAAGAAGCAATTAGGCAAATAAATCTGAATTTCTCCTTTCAATTTTTACTCAGCTTTCAGTAGATGTTCCTCCGCTTCCTTATGATAACCGGGAGACACATCCAGTAGCTTTCCTCTCAAATACAAATACATCGCTTCATCCTCTTCCGATTGCCTCTTTTCTACTTGATATAAAACATGATCCGAACCACAGATTACATTATTAACACTAGAGATTAGGGAAATATTAACCTGAGGCAAGTTTTAGGGGTGTTTTTAGATATTTTGTTTTTATAAAAAAATATTCAAAGGAAAAATACATTCAAAACCCTAGAGATTACTCGTGCTAAGCAATACCGAACTTCATTATCGAGATTCAATGCAACTGAATATTTGCATCGAGTGATTCGATAGCGCGATCAGCTTCTTCTTTCAATTTAGCCATTCTTTTCTGATGACCTGGGAGGAAATCGTGATTGTAAGAATCATCGATTGAATTAGCGAATTTAATTAACTAGTTTTATATTTGAATCTTGTCATAAGAGTGGATATCCCGTGAATCTGAAAGTCTTACTTTAGAGAGAATCTCTTCCTTCTTTCTAAATTCCTTCTAAATTTTAAATACAGCCTCATTTGTTTGCACTTAATACAGGTCTGAATCTTAATCATTCAAATCTCAGACATTAAGTGCGTTTGTTTTTAAAGTCTGAATCTTAATTATTCAGATCTTAATCTGTGATTGTTTTTTTTTTACTTCACAACCACTTAATGGGTCTGAATAGGTCTGTATGATTAAGATCTATAACAGAAACTTAATTTCATTAAGATGCTATCACATATTCATTATTAATTGCCGCCACCGCCTACCATTATCAACTACCACCATGCCACCACCACCAACATACTCAACCACCACTACCACCCACCACCACTACCACCACGCCACCATCATCCTCAATCATAGCCTCCATTATCGATTATCCCCACCACTCCGACCACCATCATTCTGACCCACAATCAACACTCATCCGCCTCAACTACCACAACTGCCTACCCCATTACCATCAACAACCACAGCGGACACTGCCTATCATTATAACCTACCACCACCAACCCACCACCTTCCTCAATCACAACTACTACCACCACCCGACATTATTAACTATCACCGCCCACCACCACCATCCTCAATCATAATCGCCACCACTACCAATCACTACTAGCTACTAGCATGAACCACTATCATCAACCAAAACTACCACCAACCACCGCCTCTAGTCGGCATTCACCCGTTAGCCATCACCACCAACAACTATCATATTTTTAAGAACTATAATATTTTATTAATAAAATATTAGATTAGTTAGTATTTCATTTGAATTTTACATTTATTAATTTTCAAATAAAGATAAATTTTATACATTCAGATGTTAAAAATCAAACAGTCTTAATTATTTCTGTTCAGAACTTAATACACATCTTAATATATTCAGATGTGTATTCAGATTCAGATGTCTTAATCTTAATACACATCTTGATATTCAGATGTGTATTCGGATTCAGACGTCTTAATCTTAAAAAAAACAAATGAGGCCTAAGAGCCTATTTGGAAAGCCACCTTGGAATTGGATTTGGGTGTAATTGGGTGTAATTACACAGTTTGGCATGTTTTTTTGGCCAAGTAATTACTTGGTCAGCATGAAATTGGAGGTAATTGGAGGGGTGTAATTACACTCTCCAATTCTCAAGGGGGAGGTGAGAATTGGTGGTAATTACACTGTGTAATTACAAGGTTGCTTTTTAGTTTCTTTCCTTTTTGTTTTTATTTTAATTTATTTTCTTGAAAATTCTAACACAATTTTACGAATATATGCTGTATCAACATTCAACAGTAACATCATCGCAAGGAAAGCAAGCAGGAAAAGATGCATAATATGACACCACTTTCCGGATAAACAATGAGATCAACTTCACTGGTACAGAATCTTTTGCTTATCCGGGGACTGGGATAATGGCGTCACATTAGATCTTTTCCTGCGTACTATGATACTACTGTTNATCATGTTTCCTATCTTAAGTTGCAGTGAGACTTACTATTATTATGTTGGAATTTGACATAAGTTAAACTATTTTATTTTTTTGAATTTTTGAAATTGCATTTTATTCATGGTTCCAATTTACTTGTTTTGTAGTATTGACTCACATTGCATGTTGTTCATTTTTTAGTTAGAATTGGTAGATTAGTTTTGTCAAACATTTGAATAATGTTATGACACTATATTTATAAATATTAATTTGTTTTATCAAACATGAATTCCATGATGTTCTTACAAAACGTATATTTTATTTAGTTTTTTTAAGTATCTAATCTAAATATCATTAATTTAAAATATATATAAATTATTTTAACAATATTAGTTATAAATATATGATTATTAATTAATGTATATTCACGAAAAAATATACATCTTAAATACCAAATATATTATCATTTATACTTATAAAATCTTATAGGTATATATTTATTATATTGATTTTTAGTTTTGATAATTATTTAATTTTAAATTTAATCTAATTGTGTAATTACACTTGTGCAACCAAACAGTAAACTTGTAATTACACTGTAATTATACTATGACAAACAAACAGGCTATCGTAATTACACAACTGTGTAATTACTAGGCTGTGTAATTACTACCCTAGTAATTACACCAATTCCAATTACAAGGTGGCTTTCCAAACAGACTCTAAAATTATCCTTCAACCTCCATGAATTCAATCACCTCTAACCTAGATACGGCACAAATCCCTTCAAAGCCGCCGGATAATTTATCAACTACTCAAATAATGGATGAAATTAATAGTCCATGTACCCCAAGCAATAAAATTCCCCAAACGTTCAAAGAAAAACTTTTGGAAAAAGATGGCACAATTAATATCTCCACAAACCCTTCGTCTACCCTCATGCTCCCAATGGACATCCAAGAATGGGAGTCAGACTCTCATCCAAACAAGGAGAATAAAAATCTCTTTCTCTCCGTCCCCATAACCTTGGAAGATAAACAAAGAATTTATTATCCATGGAAATATTACCTAATAATAAAACTACAAGGCAGAAGAATCCTCCATCAAATATTGAAACAAAAAATCCAAGACTTATGGAAAATCACTGAAAATTTTCCCCTCATCGACTTGGGCAATGACTACTTCATTATCAAATTACAAAAGGAAGAAAACATGAACCTAATCCTACAAAAAGGTCCATGGTTCATCTATGGGAACTTTTTATCAATACATAGGTGGCAACCTAATTTCCTTGCAACAGAAGCAAGACAAACCTACTCCGCGGTATGGGTTAGACTCCCTCAATTACCAACTGAGTTCTATGACGGGAAAATGCTCCAGAAAATAGGAGGAGTAATAGGAAGGCTATTGAAGGTAGATGCTTGCACATCCTCTTTCTTGAGAGGGAGATATGCTAGACTATGTATCGAATTACCTATGGAAAAGCCAGTGAGAAAATTTATCTATATTGGTACACATAAACAACATATTCAATATGAAGCAGACAACTTCCTTTGCAAAACATGCAGTAGGCTAGGCCATAAAACCACCTCTTGCACATTTATAAGATCATCAACAGATGACATGATCTCCACCTCAACGGACCACACATCAACATATAATTCTAACCCAATAATAGCACAAGTGGAAGGATGGCACACAGTTCCATTTACAAAGAGCAGGAAGTTCCCAAACACAAAATCAAATGAAGCAGCGGGAAAGTCTCAAGACTCAGGTATTAATGTCAAGTTGTTCAATGCATCGACAGATAAGTACATTGTAACCCAAAAATTAAAATATATTCTTAAGATTACTAACGTTTCTTTTGATAATAATCAAACCTCTGATCAATACCACAAACAGTCCACAAATCAATCTGAAAATAATCTCTTAAAAAGAAATAATCGTTTCTCAGGTATCAACCTAGACTCTCAGCAAATGGTTTTAGGTAATACCACTATTGAAAGTAATCAAAAAATTACTAATTCTAAATGCATGAATCAGACACAAAAGACAAAAGAGATCCAAGATAATCTTGCCTCACTAAAAGACAAAATAGATAATACCCTAGTAACTCCCCCCTCCCCTAATAAAATCCATACCCAATCAGAGGATATCTCTTTACAATCTACTAATAACCATGATGCCCTAAATACCAACCTTAACACAAACCACCAATCAAACTACAATTTCAAATGCATGTGAACATACGCTCGTCCAACCAAAGCCATCCCTCAAGACAAATGTCTCAAAACTCGGTACACGTGCCTAAGAATATGCTTGCAAACCCCTCTATTAATCCTAACACACTAAAACCCTCAAATGCCATGCAAATAGAGGTAATCATTTCCCCTACCTCTCCATAAAACCCCTTAAATCATCAACTCCAAACTCTAAACAATATCGAGAATCCCTTTAAGTCATCAAAGGAAGAGATTCAGATTAATTCAAATCCTAAGGAACCAACGTACATAAGCAATGGAAAATCTTCTTCCCTTTCCTCCCCAATTCCCAAACCTTCCCATAAATTATGCACAACCCCCCTTCCTCAGGATCACCATCCAACTTCTTGGATAGAGCTAGGGTTAATGAGGAGAGGTGTATCACTTCAACTCAACATCAATGGGCAGGAAAGTATCATAGTGATTCAAAATCCTCAATTCCTAGCACAACTAGTATCTGAGGGTCTACACCTAGTAATGAGCAATTACATGAACCACATTTGGGTAAACAACATAATGCAACCACTAGCACTGGACTGAACAATAATTTGATCCAAGTTATGCGTGCATTGTGGAATCTAGCACCACACTACAGCCAAAATCCATATCTACCTCAAAACATGGGGTTAGATCTTTCCTTTTTTCCTCCCCAGGAGATCACTGCTCTCAACCCAATCCTAATGAATTTGCATCCACTATTGAACAACATGCAGCCACAAATTTTAGTAAACCTAGGACCAATAGATCATCAAGTTCCACAACCTCAAATGCCTTAAAACGTGGTAAATCTAGTGGAGGAGGGAATAGAAGAGGAAATCAACCTAGTGAGGGAATTTTTGGTAGAATCCACAAACCTGGACGAAGTAAAAGTTTATCTATTCGAGGAGATGCGGGAGAAGATGCTTATTATAGCCTGTCCAACTTTACTGTTCAAGTGAACCATGGACATGCGATCACCCCAAGATCCAACTGTGGGGAAATTAGAAATGATCATGGTTCCATCACTAAGGAGGAACCCAGTATTCCCTCAGGGGAGTCAAATGAATGGTCCTCTTCAACCCCTACCCCAAGCCATGAATCGTGCTAAGACTTTCATTATATGGAACATTAGGGGAGGTAACAATGAGGATTTTAGAAGGAATTTCCACGAGCTTATAGCCACTCATCACCCTTGCATGGTCACTCTACTAGAAACTAGGATGACAAATCATGGTAGTTTAATGAATGAAATTGGTTTCACGGACATGATCGAAGTCCCAGCTGAGGAACAAACGGGTGGTATGGCAGTTCTTTGGGATACAA